TTTGTTCCTAATTTAGTTACTTTTTTACGGGTACCGGGCCCGGAAAAATGGAACCGGGTTTCGAAATCGACGGGCGGGTACCCGGCAGAGGCCTATTCCAGACTGGATATGCCACTTGTGTTTGGCTGTCCTGAGGGATTACTTGGCTGTTAGATCAACCACTGTATATTCCCTTGGTAACACACACATGTGTATAAATAACCTCTTCAATTGACTAAAATTGATGCTCAGTACCAGTACCATAATTTTCAGAATATAAGCCGCGGACTATACGTTGATTCCTTAGCTGAAAAATGTCTCAGCAGCTTCTACATGCACGCCGAGTGGCTTATACAGCAAACTCTGAAGGTTAAAATCAGTCACAAAATCGCAACAGAGCGACATGTACCACGTGCAGGTGGCGCAGTCATGTTTTCGTCGAACCTCTGAGAATGAATAAGAATTTGAGTTGTCCTGATTTTGAGTTATTCACAGAGTTCCCAGAGTCACGAAACAGTACATAATCATTTTCTTTAACTTTATAATCTTTAACTTTATTTGCTCTGCTGTGGCAACATTTTTTAGTGATTATTTTCCCACTTTTTATTCAATCTCGTGTATTTTTTGCAGACAATCATTTTATTATTTTTTTACAGGTGTAACCTAAAGATTTCTTTCTACTGTAAAATCAAAATCAACCGCTTCAATGGTTTACCTTCGTGTGGCAGATCCTTCGTCTTTTCTCAGATCGTGTTCTGCGTAACATGTAACATAATTGTTGCTTCTAATTGGGTAAGTTGGGTTGAATCTTGGTCCAATAAATGACCGCAACATTGAGTGAGGGAGAGGGGATCTTTTCAAAGCACTTCCCACAAGGTGTTCAACGATTTTGACCAGGATTGTCTGAGTGGACAGTGGGTGTCATGTGTTTACCCAGAAGGGCAGGGGTTTGCCGCGTTGCCGTGTGATGCTGTAAGCATTAGATGGTTATGGAATGGAATAGGCAAGGTGTGGTAGTATGCCCCGTCAAGAGCATAATAACCCCCCCCCCAAAAAAAAGTATATGTAAATACGTAGTTAATTAATATTTAGTGATACAAGAACTATGGGTTATGATAACCCATCGGTACAGGATTTTTTCAGTGGAAGGGTCCATAGTAAATTTGCGCTAATGGGATCGATGCTCGCAGGTATCAACAACAAGAGGCAAGTCGGCCATTGAAAATGGGATAAAGTGGGCGCATCATGAACGGTGCACCATAGAACTTACACATCATAAAACCTCAAGATAACCAGATGTAGTGCTGTGGACAGTTACAGAGGTAATTTTTTTAAATATAAAAGACTATTCTTTTGGCAAGAAATAGTCAGCCGACAAGATAAAACGATCTTTCGACTAACTGACTTCACGTTTCCAAGATTTTATCGTACGTCCCGGCTGCATAACTTTTGTTGGCCGCTGGGAAAAAAGGGAAGAGCTGATGATGTACGGCCCACACAGGACCACCGTCCAACCCGCAACAAATATTAAATTTGAGGACTTAAAATTCACTTTTTATGGTGACATTCGTTTGCATTTTGCTTACTTATATTAGGATTGCACGTGTAGTGGAACCATTGGCGTATTATACATGTAGTATTGGAGCATCAGCACGCAGCG